TTTCTTTAATTTTGGACATAGTATCAAAAAATGGGTAAAAACTTCTCAAAAAAATCTAATTCGGCAATTAATCAGGGGGGGAATCTGTCAAAATTCTTTGATATAAAAAGGGGTTGCCTACAAGGTGATCCGATATCCCCTTATATTTTTATCCTCTGTTCGGAAATTTTGGCAATCAAAATAAGAAATAACAAGAATATCAAAGGCTTAAAAGTACTTGAAGCTGAACAACCTATTTTACTTTCACAATATGCAGACGACACATCTTTAATTCTGGACGGATCAGAAACATCACTTAGAGAATCTATAAAAGAATTAAAATACTTTGGAAAATTATCCGGATTAAAAATGAATTAGTTTGGATAGGGAGTAAAAAATATAGTGATGAGGTTATGGCTAATGAATGGAATTTACAGTGGGGGCATACAAGGTTTACACTTCTGGGCATTGATTTTCATGTTGATCTACATCGTATTCCAAAAATAAATTTTGATAAAAAACTAGTAAAACTTGAAGCTTTGATGAAGACTTGGAGTAGGGGAATTCTTACACCAATAGGGAGAATAAATATAATAAAGTCTATCCTAATTTCTCAATGTAATCACTTATTTATCGCTTTACCAAATCCTGATAGTACATTTGTCAAAAAGATAAATACAGAAATATATAACTTCCTCTGGAATAGTAAGATTGATAAAATTAAAAGAGATGTAATTATTAAAAACTTTTCTGATGGTGGTCTCGAAATGATTCATATTAAATCATTTATAGACTCATTAAAACTAACTTGGATTAGAAGATTACTCTCAACAACAGGAACATGGCAAATTATTTTTAATTCAACTATTGATAACAACCTTCTTGTAAACTGTGGATCAGACTATATTTCCTTTTGTCATAATAACTGTAAAAATCTTTTCTGGAAAGATGTCTTTCTTGCATGGAAAAATCTTACTATTCTTGAGGAAAAATTTACAGATTCAAAACAGATCTCTGACATGCCTATATGGTTAAACGAAAAAATCAAAATAGATAATAATAGTGTTTTTTATAAGGATTGGTATAGGAAGGGAGTTGTAGTAGTTATTGACTTAAAAAGGTAACAACAACTTCTTCAGTTTTTTGAATTAAGAGAAATATATGGTGTTAGAGCAAATTTCTTACAATATCACGGCATTGTTACAGCTATAAAAGAGCTTTGCATTTGGTGTAACTTGACCCATCCAAAAATAGACTATCCTTTTATTCCAAGAAAATTACAAATATTTGCTAAAAAGCAGAAAGGTACAAAAGATTTTTATAATGTGCTTAGTAAAAATGATATAATTGCAAGTGGAACAAAAAAATGGGATGAACAATTTGAATTTGATGAAGGTGATTGGAAAATGATTTTTAAACTCCCTTTTTCTGTAGCAAAAAGTACAAAATTGCAATGGTTCCAATTTAGGGTTAATCACCATATTCTAACAACGAATTCGTATTTATTTAAAGTTGGGTTAGTAGACAGCCCTTATTGTAACATTTGTAAAACAGAAATTGAAACGATAGAGCATACGCTATGGAACTGTGAAAAAGTTCAAATTTTACTTGTTAACTTAGAAAATTTGTTGAATTCACTGTTCATTCCATTTGAATTTAATAAGAAATCTTTTCTTTTTGGTACATATCGTCAGAATGGAATAAACAGAAAAGTGGATAATATGATCATCTTTACAATAAAACAATATATCTGCAAATCAAGGTGCCTCAAGAACGAACTCTGCATTATTGCCCTGAAAAATACACTGAAAGATACATATACACCTCAAAAATACATTGCTAGAAGTCAGGAAGAAAGCTACTTAGACCAGTTTCAAAGAGAATGGGCCAAATGGCAAAACTTTTTTTGAAACACCCAAACTTGAAATTACGACTGATTTACCATAAGTAACTTATCAATTTATAAATATAATTGTTATATTGAGTAAATGTAAATATTGATTACGCTCACACTGACAGCTAGCTAAGAAATTCAAAATGTAATACAAATTTTCAACAATCCTACCTTTCCTTTCTGATAATTGTATTGATGTTTGTATGATAATGAATGAGTGTGTCTTTATATATATGTTTGTGTTATGTCATGTTATGTATATATATTGTTACTGTATTGTATATACTAATGTAAAAATTTGAAAAATAAAAATAAAAAAAAAATTTTTTTTTTTTAGTTATATTGGATATATATATTTCGCAGTTGAGTCGATGTTCAAGAGCTTGGTTCGAATATCATGACTTCTGAGATAGATGTTGGAATCTGACGGACAGACTAACAACACATGAGTGCAGCTTAATGAAGACTATTGACAAGTGTAATGGCTGCCATCAGGGTCTCGCAGGGACATAGGCTATTTCTTTGTGAGGCATGAAGGACGATTTTATTGATTATGTTAATTATTTGCCTTGTTGTTTCGAACTACCCTACTTCGGTATGCGAGGACATGACATTACTTGGGTTTGATCAAGATGTCGCCGATAAAGCAGAAGACGCTTTCCTTTCCGGAACACCTGGTTCTTTTTCTGTGGTCCCCATGTAAAAATAACTCTTTCAGTGAAGTGAAGCCCTTCGATAAACAATGACAGTTGAGTATTAAAAGGAAACTAGTTGCAGCAATGAAATCTATGTACAGGCAAGTACATGTTTCCATAGATAGTACACTAGTCTCACCAAAGGAAATTTCATGTAACCGATCCGATTAAACATTCATGTTAACGACTTCAAAAATAATTTTAAAAATTTGGACAGATGATTTAGTTGTTTTGGTCAAGTCCACCAGCGACTAATAGAATAAAGGATATCTTATCGAATTATTTAACTATTCCCAAATCTGGAACCAATTTGATAATTTGAATGAGAAAAAAATAAAACGAAAATAGCTAACTTCGACAAAATAGCAGAATACGTTAAACCAATGTCAGGCTTTTATATATTGAGATTATCGAGGTAGAGGATACGTTTAAAAGTATTTTATATACATATGAAAAGTATTGTATGTGAAACAGCTGAAGTCTGTGGTTCAGGTACAACTTGATTTTCTATCAAAACAGAATACTAAATTTTAAATAGAAAACATGATCTTGGAAGATTTCCTACTGTACATTGATAAAAATCTGGTTTGGAACAATTCATGTACTTATGACTATGAAAAACTGCATATAAACTTACACAAGCGTGTAAATGATTTAATTACATCGAATATGTTGATTTTGTGCTTGGTGGTTTTCGTTTCGGATATATTTTGATATATAAAAACAGTGTAAATTGTTATCACGCTTTATCTTTAATTAAACCACCAATACTTATTTATGTAAAGAATTAGTCTAAACAATGAAAAATGTTATAATCTGTCACCCTTATAAACACTTAGTTTATCATATCATGATGCACCATATATGACCAAGTAGTATAATAAAAAAATGTGCATTTAAAACATTGAGTTTACCAGGTCATACATACAACAAGGTACCTGGGGACAGGACGGCATATGAAATAATAACTGATCTGAAGGTAAATGTAAAATCAAACACTCTAATAACTTTTTTGAAAACAAGCGACGCGTTTCAGACTGTTCCATGTAAAACAATATGAAAAATGTAAAAAAAATATATATATATTACTCTTATTGAAAAAATAAGCCATTTTGACAGTGCAACTTTTAAGTAAAATTAAATGAAAAATACATATAACCACACCATTAGTCATTAAAATATATTTTGTCCATTTTCCTATACACTATGCATAATAGTCCGTATATCATATTTTGCATATTTTAATTTTTCATAAATCATACAGATGAGTTTAGAAGCTTTTAACAAAGCAAAGGAAATTGAACTTGAACCCCTGTTACTGTCTATGATAATGTCGGTTGGCGCAGTGGAGTTGCTGGAGTGTGCATATTATTTTTTTCCGCAGTAATTCAACATATATGATGTTTATAAACAAAATCCAGAAACCGTTAATTGACAAGTGCCTCATATATGGTTGAGGATTAGGAAACAATACTATACCTGCAGATTTTACAGAGTAATGACTTTGTCGTGCCTTTTCTTCGGTTTAAAAGTGTTATTTTTAGATTTTGAAAATAAAATAAAATACATCTTGAATACTAAAAGTATATTTGCTGAATACAAATGTGACAAGACACAAGTTAAAAAAAACTTGAAATGAAAACTTTTCAATTTCACTCCATTGTTTGTAATGTATTAAATTAAAGATATATGAATACAGAAACAAATCGGAAAAACAACTGTAACAACACGTTGTTTGAATTCCATACCAGATAAAAATGTTTAGATGATTTTATATCCATATTTTAAGTTACATAAATCATGATTTTGGTAATCATGCTAAATAAGAACTAAATTATGGTTTTGTTAACAAGACAGTGTTCTTTTTTTTAATAAACGGTAATTACCTTTCTGCCATATATTTAGTGTTTTTGGAAAAATCAGATGATACAATAATTCAGTAACAATAATGATGGAGGTGTTAAGAAGACAGTTTAATGTTGTTTATAATTTTCTAGAATAGAACGTTTAAGCCAAACAAAAAAATATGGATGTTTTAAGTAACATAACTGAATAAAATTGGGTAGGTTGGTTTGGAATTATTTTATTATATCTAATTTTATTTTATTTTATTTATTTTGTATTATATGGGGGGATTGAGAGGTAAGGGTTGGGGCTAATTTAAGAAATTTCAAAAGTCACCAAGAAAACCTTATTCTTTAATATACAACTGTAATTATGACATCTTAAACTTCCTAGATTAAATCGCAAATCCGTTCTTTAAGTTAAACGATGATATAATGAATTGTTGTAGTATTGGAATTTAACATCAGATCTTGGAGATTAAAGTTTATTTGATAAAATTAAAAACTACTGTACGTGTGTTATACAGACACGCCCACCTCGCTTTTGATTGGCTGATACGTTTATATATATATATATGGAACAAGCAAGCCAAGTTAGAAGTTTGTGTACGACGATACGCGTTATTAAACTAGAAGACGCTGGACGTGATAGATGTTACCTTGCATTGAAAGTCAACACACCCAGAGGTGAGCTATGTAGCTATATATTTCCATTCAGCTCTTCTTGCATTCTTTTGGTGACTTCACCTATACATTCAGCGTAAGATTACAACAAGGTAACCTAATTTGCACAGTATGACTTTGGAGCTTCCTGGTCAACACAGATACACATGCTAATTTATATCCTCGTAATTACTTTGTATAAAATTTGCTAATACATTTGTATATGAATTCATGTTCTATTTACGTAGAGAAAGACGTTCATTTAGAAATTCTAATATCTTCCACATCGAACTGTTCTATTTTTAGCGAATGGAAATTCCTTTTTTCTCAAATTAATATTTTACGAATGCGTAATAAACTGCAATGTTATGACTGATCCCATTCCAGGAGGCGGCGATCTAAAATATATAAATATATATTATATCCGAACATGTTAATACGTATCGATCCAATTTTCAAGATATTCGACATTTTATAAATTTCTTTGAAACTTTTGGTCGTGACGTATTATCGCCAGTTCACTGCGGTAAGGTAAGCGTAAACATTACATTCCGAACTGCCTCTATTAAACATTAAATAACCATCTTCACCAGAACTTCTCATAAATGACTCCATGTAGTATATCCGTATTGAAAGAATTTCATTAAGGAATATCTTTCACACCAAATTGTTATTTTTGGTTTGTGCTGAAATGAAAAAATCTCTTTACGCATGCCCATCAAATTAGACTGTTATGACCGATCGCATTATGCATGCTTTATTTGACATCCGAATTCCGAACATGCTATAATCGTTTTTATCTCTTTTTATTCTTATACATATCGATCCAATTTTCAAGATATTCGTCATTTTATAAATCTCTTTTAAACGTTCGGTCGTTACATATTGAACTTTCTTCGCCGGTTATATAACCCCTTAGGACACATTTGAACTTATCAATTTCAAAAGTTGGAATAGTTCATTATGAAATTTAAGGGAGGTGAATGAGTTAACAATATTCACTACGACTTCATTCTTTCCAGACGTCATAATTTACAAAATACTCGAAATATCTTTTTGTTGACGGTACTATTCGATAGCTAAGTATTTGTGCCACTATTTGTATTAATACACTACTGTCGATCATTTTTGAAAACCACATAACCACATTAAAAAAATGTTTTTCTGCTATCCACTGTCGTTGACAATCATATTTCCTTATATATGCATATCCCTTATTCGGATTTCCACTATGTTAAGTTGTGTAATAAGTTAGTTTGTCATTTAATTCTTCTATTATTTTAGGTCATACCAGATTTAATATTTAATGTAAAATCATTCTTTCTAACTGCAGAATGTCGTTATGTTTTGAAAATGTGTTTTGATGTGATCCTTTCAGATACAGATTTCTCTTATTTACCATTAGAATTATTCGATCTATCAAAGAATTTCGTTGTCATTTAACTCCATAATATTTCGAGGGTCATACAAAGTATTTTTTGTCATTTTTCTCTATAATATTTGGGGGTCACATCTAACATTATTTTACAGTAATTTTGGTCATTTAAGTCAAAAATATTTGGGGTCACATCTAACAAAGTATTTCTTTGTCATTGACCCACATAATATTCGTAAATCACATCTAACAGAGCATGTTTTTGCTATTGCCCACACAATATTCGGACGTTACATTTTACAAAGTATTTCTTTGTCATTTACCCACACAATATTCGTAAATCACATCTAACAGAGTATGTTTTTGCTATTGCCCACACAATATTCGGACGTTACATTTTACAAAGTATTTCTTTGTCATTTACTCACACAATATTCGTCAGTGACATCGAACATGTTTTACAGTATTTTTGGTAATTTGAGTCAACAATATTTGGGATTAGATCTAACAAAGTTTTTTTGTCATGTACCGGGGGCGTAGAGTGTGCTTACACGTAAATAATCTATGTTTGCCATATGTCTAAACAGTAACCACTATACAAAAACAAAACCAAATGATATCATCTCATTAGGACAATATCATAATTGTATTTATCTATCAATAGAATACTAATAATACAATGGTATTCTTTCCAGAATATCTAAGATGCCATGTTCGTCCATTACTCTCAATCCGGTATTTCCGGTGATATGTTGTGGCCCGTTAAATTTAAAACATCAATTTACTAAATGATTTTTACTCGCGAACAGAATATCAGGTCTATCATTTCCCGAAGTTTTACATCATATTAAAACGCAAAATATCTTAAATGAAGTCAAACGAAGCGGAGATGTCTCCTTCGAAACGTGGTTTTGAAAACCACACGTGCGGTGGGTAGGTATATCATTGGTTTGCATTCTGTATCTTAGCGCACGCTTTTTATAAACTGGTCTGGAAAGAGTCGTGTGTGTTTATATATCAGGACTATAACTAAAATACAGAAATACATTTTTGTGATACATGTTAACAAGTGAAAATTAGGATATTTACGTTTACATTACACGAATGTTTATCGATATTAAGCGACGAATATACAATCCTTCGTGAACACTTTTAACCAGTAGCCTTATTTTTTTTTTGTATGACCGTCTACGAACGAGGTTTCTTCAAATTTCGGTAAAATTCATGTAACAAGAAAAGAAAAAAACTGCTATGAGCCAGACAGAGATTCGAAATTGGAACCTCCAAACTCTAGACGAACGCTCTAACAATTAAGCTACTTGGTCGCCGTCGATCGACTTAGTCCAATTCAACTACATGTACATGATAAATAAATCATAGCTGTGATTTAAAATGATCTACGATGTGTAGAATGGATGCACACCAACACATGAATAAATGAAATCACGGGATTCACTGCTCATCGAACCTGGTACAGAGTCCGGGAACTTTTTCATATTTGTATATGGCATACGTTCTGATTCTCTCCACACACAAAAAAGTTATATTGATAAAATCGAGTACTCCGGACTGTATCAATAAACGTGTAACTAGGAGTCAAAGGAGTAAAAGGTGACAGTTTAATAATATTTGGTTCGTTTCCATTTAAGGAACAATAATGCATTAAATAAATGTTGTTGTTGTTTTTTTCCAAATCGACACACTAAAAAGAGAATCTACTGAAACTTAACGGGTTTCTTTTTTTATAAAGATAGCCGATATTTCTGAAAAAATATTACCTACTTACCAACAAAAAAATTAAAACAACGCAAGGACGGCTGATTTCGTACACATTTAGCTGTACTGACGGTAAGTTAGACTATCATATAGCCAGTTTAATTTGTGGAAAACTCTGCCTAGCTGAAACAAAACAACTGGATGGGACATAAGTTATGTGATTTACTTAGTTAAAGGTCACTGGTCACTTAAATTATATATTCTAATAACCGGATAACAATTTTCATATTTCAATTATCTTTAAAATAATTTCCGCTCGGGCTTACACATGTCTATGGTCCTATTTACGCGCCTGTTTATCTCCACAATATGTACCCAAGTAATTCGGGCGTCGTATCTACCACTCCTTGTCATTTACACCCCTAATATGTTCGGCCGTCATAGCTACATGAGGCGGTTACATCTTGTATAATACTGCTTTATCATTTATTCCTTATATATTCGATAGTTAAATCTAAGTATCCCTTTGACAGTTAACACAGTTTTAATTCGGGAGGAGTTTTTACCATAAGATTTCTTTGCCATTTTACCAGGTTTTAAATTCGGGCGTCACATCTGCATTTTGCATTTTTATACGATATTCACGAGTAACATCTAACAAAGAATTGACTTGTCATTTTCTTCAACTATATGTTTGCTGGGTCTTAACTAACCTATCTATATGTGTCATTTACCTCTTTGCCATTCTTCTCTGTCATATATTTCACCATGTTCGGGCGTCACCTCTGCAATATTTACCCCTACGATATTCGGGCGTCACATATAATACACTATTTCTTCGTTAATGACTTCCCACTTTATATGAGCGCCGAATCTACAAAGTATTCGTTTGTTTCTCAAGTTATATTCGGGCGTTAAATTTACCGTTGCATTTCTGTGTTATATACCCAACTACAATTCCTTTTCTTGTTTACCCAAAAGATATTATGAAGTCAGATTTTACATTGAATTTTGTTGTCATTTACCCCAACTTTTTTTTGGATGTAATCATAGTTCATCGTATTTTTTGTCATTCGCTCCCATCATATTCAATAGAGAAATCTAATAGTAATTTTGTGTCATATGAACCCACTCATTCGGGCGTCGTGTGTTATATGAACCCACTCATTCGGGCGTCATGTGTCATATGAACCCACTCATTCGGGCGTCATGTGTCATATGAACCCACTCATTCGGGCGTCATGTGTCATATGAACCCACTCATTCGGGCGTCATGTGTCATATGAACCCACTCATTCGGGCGTCATGTGTCATATGAACCCACTCATTCGGGCGTCATGTGTCATATGAACCCACTCATTCGGGCGTCATGTGTCATATGAACCCACTCATTCGGGCGTCATGTGTCATATGAACCCACTCATTCGGGCGTCATGTGTCATATGAACCCACTCATTCGGGCGTCATGTGTCATATGAACCCACTCATTCGGGCGTCATGTGTCATATGAACCCACTCATTCGGGCGTCATGTGTCATATGAACCCACTCATTCGGGCGTCATGTGTCATATCCTACACAGTATTTCTTTGTGCCATGTGCTTTTTACTGCAATGATATTCCGGCGTTGCCGGGTTGTTTTTTTTTTATCTTTTAACATATTATATTCAGAGGGGAGTGGGATTTCTCTATTATTATTTCCACTTGTTACGGGTGAACCATACCCAATAATATTTCCTAAATATTTTCAACTTTCTTCGGCTGTCATCTCTCCAATAGTATTTCCTAACTATTGTTCGTTTTATTCGGGTGTCAACTCTGCAACAGTATTTATTTAATATTAATTCCTCTTTATGAGGGCGTCACATCTGCATAGGCATTTTTTAAGATATTCAGCAGTTTCATCTAGCAAAGAATTTACTTGTTAATCCCTCCAACTGTAGTTTTGGGGTCTTATCTAACATATGTTTATGTGTCATTTACCTCCTTGCCATTCTTGCGTCGCGTCTAACACAGTATTCCTCTGTCGTTTATCCCGCCATGTTCGGGCGTCACCATTTTTCCGTTTTATTCGGGCGTCACATACGCGATGCATACTTTATTATTACTTCCACTTTAAAAGGCCGTCACATCGCCATAAGAATTAAATTATTATTTTCCACTTTACTGGAGCGTAGGATCTCCAATAGTATTTATTATTATTATTCTTTTCCACTAAATCGAGTGTGACATCTCCAATAGTATTCTTTTCATTATTTCCCACTTCATTCGAGCGTCACATCTCCAAAAGCAGCTCTTTCTTATTTTCCGCTTTAATCGAGTTTGACATCGCCATTAGTATTTCTGTATTATTTTTCACTTCATGCGGGCGTCAAATCTCCAGTAGCATTTCCTTATCATCTACAGCATTTAATCTGGTTGTCGCATTTACAATTAAATACTATACTGCCATTTCCCTGACCATTTTCGCTCGTATCATTTAATCACCATTTTGTTTCTTTCATTATGAAGTGACATATACATGATTCTGGTGCCGTTTTCATTTTTTTACAAAAGTATCGTTCGTCAGTTATCACAAGTTACTATATTCTGTTTAGATAATTCATAATTCATGGGCGGATTGGTCGAGTGGTTAACACTCCGGCCTTCCAAGCAGGCGGCCGGGGTTCGATCTCCGAAGACGCCATAGGACTAGTAGTTAGCGCCTGATAAGGCAGCTCCTGCGAATTCCTCAATATTGTATTGATTAATATATATATGCTAATTGTATTGACTGTATAAAATTGTATATCTATGTACTGTAAAGCGCTTTAGGGTGGCTTATATTAGCTAGATAGGGCGCTATATCAAATGTTGTATATTATTATTATCATTGTTATTATTACGATTTATTATGTTTTTTTGACGTCATCATTTTCTTCACATAAAACCGACACATACTCGGTTGTCTTCAGGATGTAACAAAAGTGTATTTCAACAATATTAAGTTTTGAAATACTTCAGGGATTTTTTATGGGTCTTTTATTTTCACGAATCACTCTTAACAAAAAGTGCTTTTAAGAAAACACATATTTAAACATAAGATCGATGCAGGCAAAATGTAATTAACGTTTGTTATGATATCTGACGGTGCACAACGACCTTGCTTGATGTTTACGGCCAATGGACAATATTAAAGGTGGTGTCATTTCACAGACATATTGACATGTATCAAAATATTTTCCTGATATTTAAAATAATAAATACAGATTCAAAGAGCTTTACTGCACTCTAATAAAAATAACAAATGTTCCCTATTCTGTAGGAGGCAAAACCTTATCCTCCTCGCATGATACAGCAGGTTATTGTAATATTGCTAGCTCGCACAGGACGGTGGAATCGTGTATTTGATACGTTCATTAGATGTGGAATGATAAAGAAAGGTAAATGCCCGCCATCATGATCTTATGGGGAAATGTTCTATTTCTTTTATGTGAAATGACACTCGATGCTTTTACTATACTCATTTGTGTACATTATTGTTTCGTTGTCATTACCTCAGTGGTAGCTTTGAGGACGCAACATTACTTGAATATGATCTAGATACTAACATGATCGTTGTCGTCGGTGAAGCAGAAAACACTTACCATTCCTTGAACACATTGTCTTACTCACCATAATATCCTAGTTCATATTTTTTTTTAGTTTTAAAGATCTTCAGTTACAATTACGAACTTTGTGTTCATTTCCGTTCTTTTATCTAGCTTATTAGTCGGTAGAGTTATCATTATAACGTATTATCTATTACTTTTGTTTCAGATGACCGACGTATTCCTTGTAAAGTGTGGGAGGTTTGTGATAAACGCCTTCCTCTATTACTGTTGGAATGGAGCAAGGATACCATGTGACGGTGATATCTGTAAGATAGCTGAACAGGAAGACCGGCGAATACAGTGCAAGCTGTATTGTGAAAAGGGTAAGCACTATCATCAAAAACTAGTAAGTGTATGGTTGTTCTGCACACGATTTTTTCAATCATTCGCAAAATGGGTGCTTTTAGATATGTGACTTGCTGAAATATGTTTGAAAAAGCATTTTTGAGATTTGAATTCAGCAGCTCAATCTATTCCCCGAGATAATACAAAAATACAAACCTAGAATATTTACGTGTTTCCCGTTTTGATACTTTTTATACTAAATGAGTGAGGCAGAATCATTCAATATATTCACAAAAGCACCACCACGGCTAAAATATTGCAATTTCTGCAACAAAAGACATTGTAACAAACAGCGAAATGACTTCAGGCCGTTAAGATATATGTTTACACTTGTAGGCAGTAAGTTAGTTCACAATGTCCTACTCTTCTAGGTCGTCCCGATAAAGGACAATGCTGAACACGCACTTTTCAAATTTTAATAAGGATAATAAATAATATAAATGTAATATAATATATTGATTATGTCTCTCCATCGATAAATAATACTTTTGTTTAATAAATAAGTCTCAATATGTCGCTGGTAAACGTGTTAAAGGAACATCTCCCAGTTGCGAAACCTAAATTGGAGTTGTGGGAGAAAGACAATAGGAGAAAGACAACAGGAGAAAGACAACATATTATAGTAATGTGTTTACTGAATATCTGGACACCGATTAAAATATCTGTAAAACTAACATCTAGACAGGACAGCGAGGATGATTGTTTATAGGATAGCTCTGTGTTAACATGAAATAATAGATGTATGAAAATGTAGACACTTATAGACAAATCGCAAGGATAACGTCCTGTGTATAATAGTTTCGTTTTACTTATTTAATATTTAATTATCTTACGAACACACAGCATTCATCTGAGGCATGGTACACCATGATTATGCCTATTATATACCTAGTATATACTAGTGTTTATTTTATTGCATGACAATGACGTGTTTTGTATTATACTACCTATCAAACCGTTGTTAAGAATAATTATTTTTACAATTTAGGCACTTTAATGTTGTAATATCTTTTTTCCTGAATTTCAGTTGCAGATAAACTTGCGCAGCTAACAAAGGAGGGTAAGTTAAGCTGTTTGTTTCTGCACGAAACGACATTTCTCTAAATATACATAGACAATAATTAAGGTCTTATCAGCGCAATTTTTTATATTGGTAATTAACCTAATTACAGCATTGGGGTCGAAAAATTGAATATCAGCATGAACGTGTTTTTTCTGAAAAAATCACTGTTTTTGCATCATTATACTTTATGATGAGGCAAACACTCGTGCAAATATTAATTTTATATATTTCAGTACTAGCTAATAAAGCACTAGAGACGGAACTGGCTACACAGGAACAGAAAACTCTGGTCTACCAAGTGTTATTCATCTCCCTTGCTATTCTGGTTCTCTTGGCTCTCTCCGGAGTATTGTTTTGGATATGCCGTAAAATACGTCGAAGTAGAAGAAAGCCAGAATCTGATAACACAGCAGAACCTAGGTATGTAGGGCTTAGCTAATGTCCTCGTTTTCCTATCGTCTTTTTTCAGCTTAAGTTTGATTTTTTCAATTAATAAAAAAAAAAACATATGTATCTTTGAATATTTTACTTCTATAAAATGAATTATTTTATCTTTTATGAGGACCTCCTTGATATAATACAACATACAATTCCTTTTTAATTCATATTAAGTAAGCTGTGTAATTCAGATTGTATGTATATAATGTTTTCGTATGTTTTTAGTCCAACTATTGACCCTAACCCTGATCAGCCCGCAGTCCCCACAGCTCCCTTTCAAACAGATGACCAATCGGACGCAAGTGGATTCAGTCAGGGAGACAGTGCAATAGAAACTGACGTCATGTTACTACTGGAACCCACAGGTATTCTAGAAATTACTTAGCAAATTACAACTACTGACAAAGAAGCCACATTTCTTGGTTGTTCGATTTCTATTATCTTAACATAAGTAAATACTTAGAAGTTAACGATTTGGCATCAATACATCTGAATCATTTAATCTGAAATATTTGTGTTATTTAAACTTCATGTATTATCCATGACATTATAGAAAAATCTGAACAAATAAAAAATAAAAATACTACCTGCGCAATAACAACTATTTTGTTAGATATATATTTCTGTTGGACTTCCTCAGCTGTGTATTATTGTATAACATTGCTAATACAGGTCTATATCGCTAATATTCATACCACAATGCATTCATTTTTTTCATTTTTTTTTTCAGGCCCTTGTACCAGTGTGGTACCGCCTGACTGCAGTATTGAGAGAGAAGGAAAGAACGAACTGGTTCCCTCACCGCTATCACCAGTTGTAGATGTATGATTAAATAATAAATAGGAAATATTTAAAGGAAGTAATAACGTTGGCCTAGCTTTACGTGTAAATGGGTATTGAAGGTAGAAAAGAGAAATACATGCTTTAAGCCTCCTGCATTCTGAATATGTCACCACCATGTTGGGATACCGTTATCAAACGCCGTTAATTAATGAAGTGTTACTATAGCAAAAACAGTAAGGTCGCGTTATCGATTTCGAACATTTGCAAAAAAGAAGGAGAAGTATTTTGACATGACATTTTTTCCTGAACTATGAACTATAGAAAAGTGTGACTAAGTATAGTAAAACACAATAATTCCATGTAGGCAGACAATATCAAACCCACATATTTCAAAGCTATTAATATCAGTAAAAAATGTCGTGTCTTTTTTTCGTAAAATTTTCTTTTCTAAATATGCCATATTCAATGAGCAAATAGAGCATATACCATTGACATTCTTGTTACAAGCAAATATATATATATATATACATTTATGACAAAATTATCTAGTCTGATATTGATAACAATCGTCTGAAACCGGTATGTTGATAGGCGTGGGTTTGACTTCCGGTGATTGCGACATTTTTTGTTGGATTTTTTCTAACTTTGTACATACAAACGTGATCATACTTACACAAAGAACTTCTAGAGTTAAATATAATCGCAATAGTCTTAGAGGTTATAAGTTTTTAAGTTGCCTTGGAAAAATGTGTATGCATTTTTGAATATTAGGTTAGCCAGAATCTTGCTCAGCCTGGTTTTCATCCAGGACTACGAACATTTGGTGATATTTTCATTCTACATGATACAGTATGTAAGTGAAATAAACAGTTGTACGCTGCTTTGTAGACATAAGGCAGGCGTTTAACAATGAAGGATGCACTCGTTTATGTCATAAAGGGTTGAAATTGGGAGGTAGGTTTAAGCGTCAATACGGTATAACATTTATCTATAATCATGTAATGTCACTTGTGAAAATTGAAGGTGGCTTATCAGATTGTTGTTAATGATTTCGGATTGATGCAGTGTGAAATGCTTTCTTTGATGCTTCTTTCCATCTATGTAAAAATACTTCAAATCTGTTGTAACTACAATGACCAAATAACCAAATATAATTTTGATATTTTTTTTTGATGACGTCAACTTTTCTATGTTGATCAACTGACAAATATCTAAGTATGCACTTTAAGTGTAATAATCATTTTAATATAATTCAGGAGCCATCATCTTATAAGGATCGTAATACCGTATTATTAAGGTGTTCAAAATGAAGTCTAAAAGTTAAGACCATGTTGCATTTGTTTGATACATATCTTTATACATGTAGTATATTTGGTAACGCTTGTGAAGTGTGGACTCGACATTGTTCATCTTTGTTTATGTAAGAGGTTGCTGAAAGTTAAACTTCCACACGTAATGCTGTGGCTTACTGGAAATGTAGAAATATCTATAACAATTAAATAAAGAAAATACAAAATTATTTAGTATTCAAGATTGGGCGTGTGCTTTGTTCTACTGGGTCCATCATCTAACATATTATTTTGCTTTGGGTTTTTGTAATGAATGGATGAGCCAATTATTGTCAAATGTAAAATCAGGTTTACCATGTATGCATCTGTAGGTCAAACAATTTTTTTTATACGATCAATATTAGTTTAGAGGCATTATAGAAAATTCTCCTTTTTTATTTGTCATTCGTGCAACTGCATACGATTATCTTACGTGAATAAGACGTCACTTATTTTTGAAGCATATAAGAAACAAATGTAACTCATTCTCCACTTTGTAATGTTTACTGTTTGTATATTGTATAAGTCCAGTATTGCCTTTAATGATGATTATATCGCTCATCGTGCATTTTATCAAAGCGATCATCTTTCTCATTATTTCCTGCCGTAGTAACACACATATGGTTATAGGTTACTTTAATGCCATGAACATATGTATGTTTATTGTGTAATTTTAGCGCTGAAACGTCTTTAAACGCGTTTTGATTAACCCATGTTCAGATTCCAGCTTTATCTTGGTTCCTGTATACATTTACTCCAGTATTCTGCCACAATGTAGTAATACTGATATATGATAACCATACATCATTATGCTTCATTATCATTATCACCACATATCTGCACTTCATAATGTCTCACCATTGCAGTATTACTATTAAAGTTTGCCTATGAATAAACAAAATAATATTAAAATATATTTCGTTTTGCTTCTATTTATCTATTTATATATTTTATGTTTTTGTTCCTTTTGATAATAAAATCTATTCGTTTATATATATAATTTCTGTTTTATTGCAGTCCAAATTTGTCATAAATATTGAAGACAATTCGGCATACAATGGTATTCATCTTCAATTTCATTTATTTCCACTAACAAATTATTGAGACAATTTAAAATAACAACTCTTAGCAACATGAAGATCACATACCAGGCAGAATAGTATAGAAATGACAATACTATCGGCCATCATCACAAATATGTTTGTAAAATTCATTTTAAAATATAATGGTATCGAAATGATTCAAGCAACAACGCGTTTTTAAACAAAATAAAAAGTTGTGATTACGCAATACACTGCTTCTTACCGATTCAACACACAATAATCTAGAATGATTGTGTTTTCCTAGAACATCGTAATATGATTCATAATCTTGTGATTTTAACGTTAACACAATACAGGGAACCGCCCACATCCGCTTTACACGTACACGCGTAGCGGGTATCGCCCACACCTATGACGCGAAGATCTATTTTTAGCAACAGGTTTACTATATAACAGTGATACATACAACAGGAGGCAGAAGGCCGACACTAGAAAATGAAACGATAGATCACCAATATTGAGCTTCAAGAGGAGTAAGCATAGTATTTTATTTTAAAATGGTTCTTATTTCATTTTAACTAAAACTGAGAACACTACAGCTCAAATACAGATCTGTAGTTATATGTGTAAATGTTAACTGCAAGCGAATCGTGTTTTTTTGTTCAAACTTTTGATTAAATGCAAAACGTTCTAAACAAATAGATATATGCCGCTTTATTTGCTATTCGTATTGTACCTCATTCTTTCGATTGTATATTAGTAATATGTCGTGTTCTTTTTTCAGGATTCTGATCCAAAAAAGCGAATATCACTATATCGTTACGGGATAAACGATATAGCTGACTAAATTAACGGCACCAATGAGCATATTTCACAACAAATATTATTACACTGACGGCTTGTTAACCTTCAAAAGTAGGCACGGTAGCCTAGTGGTAGGACGCCGGGTTCGTGACCGAAGGGTCGCGGGTTCGAGACACGGCACGGCACTGTGTTGTATATTTGAGCAAGATACTTTACTCCGCTTGTTCCAGTCTACTCAGCTGTAAATGAGTACGTGGTTGGGCAGTGCTAGAATTGTTGAATGCTAGCTGTTAGTACCGAAATGGCAGCTCCTGCTGTATGCTTCCCAGGGAGTTGAGAAGGTATACTGGCTGGTTGCAAAGGCCCTATAACCACGGATACAAATTTGTGAACCGCTTTGTATTATAATTATTATTTGGGTACAAGATTTTCAATACTAGACAGGGAATAACTCGTGAAATTCAGTAACTACATGAAGTAAAGCCTAGGGTAGAACAGTCCGCTATATAGTTACATTAACACATGGAGATTTTCTCTAGGAGTATCATGGTCCCAAAAATATCACAACTCTCAAAATATGATATTATTTATGTAAACAGTCGCCAGAGATTGTATTCTTGTCTCATTTTCAGTTCTTGAATATTCTTTATATGTCCTACAATTCAAGGGTGCTATTCATGCGTCATGTTCCCAGTGGTGGTGGATGTGCCAGGAATCATACAACTTTGATATCGTGTTATTGTTAAAGGTCCGAGTTATAAGCATTAAATAAGTATTTCAGTGCGTAAATGTCTATTATAGCAAATATTTGGCAAACGTTTCCGTCCGATCTATTTGTATAAATGTATGGTGAAGAATTAGTTTATTTCTTTAAGTGAACCACACATCTGTACCTACCGTATTGTATATTGACATGTTAATTGTATTACTACATCAATTATTTTGTTTTCATTTGCATAGCTAACAACACATATTTGAAGCATTGTGGCCACGTCCATATGATGAAATAACACATAATGTAGTAACCGTCGCCCCGTTTCTCTAGGTACAGAAAAGATAACCGCTCCTCTATCAGCCTTGTAAATATATGCATATTTTGAGAGCGGTACAAGGTCACGTGATGTGCGACATCATGTTATTAGGCCATTCATAAAACATTCAGACACAATTTCGATCATCACGGTCTGTTAAATTTAATTTATAGAGTTCATATTATGTCGTTAATATTTAAACCATGTTTAAAACTCGCCAGGGGTCATAGACGAGAAAAATAAATCTAGTTGGCCATAATTCTTCTATATCCTAATAAGTACATATTCCAGCTAGAGTCGCAATTTATAGTATAAACGCATTTTGCTTTTCCAGCAATGATGTAGATTTTTTTACTGTAGGGATATCGCTACCACGACCATAATTCGCGCGTTATCGTTAAAACTTTATCATTTTTTGGTATTTCTTGATGTTATACTTCATTAACACGTCAATTTAAACTTAACGAAATGAACGTAAGCGTTTGAAAACACACAAAAAGTCGACATACATGTGTAAGCCACGTCAGATAACCCTACGTTGAAAACAGGGTGACGGCATTGGCATGTATTTCAAAACACTAAAGAGAAAGATCTCGGACATAACATTATATCCCATTGCACGCTTAAGAGTTAACTTCTTGTTTGGCTATATTTAGCAAATTGCCATCTATGGCATATAAAGGTAGATACATTTAGCATAGAAGGCTGAAAGTGGCCCAACTCCTTCTCTATGTAAGACTTATACAATAAAATAGTTTGAAATGGAAAATAGGAAGGCTATAACACAACATTTAACAAAAAAACTATTCTATTATGAATCTAAAATAATTTCTTTGATTGCAAAATTATTATTAGCCCTCCACCACTTGGTCGCGTGACCTACGTAAGGCAGTCGCCAGGTACTGGCCGTAGGTCGGGTTTTTTTTCTCCGGGAACTCCGGCTTTACTCCACCACCAAAACCTGGCACGTCCTTAAATGGCCATAGCTGTTAAAAGGACGTGAAACACAAACAAACCAAACCAAACTTTTGTGTTTAAAAGGTTGCTGCCTTGTTAATTCCTGTTCAACATACTTACAAAGTGGATCCTACAGTCAGCAAAGGATGCAAGCGATTAAATTTCTTTAATACTGATAACATAAATGTCGTCATTTAAAATTATTTTGATCCATACAATCATCAAGCAAAATTTGATACGAGTATAATGACGATGACTTTAATATCTTGATAATATTTAGTTTGTTTCATATAGTTTTAATGAAATATTTACAGATAACTTATTCAAACCAATGAACAATGAAAGAGATATTACTAATGTGCATCATTTTTGGTTTGATATTTACATTAGTTGAAACAAATCATATTAATTATCACTTTGTTTAGTTTTAAAATTTATTTTATTGTATTATTTATTTTCGTTTTATCATGTAGCACAAGAAAAGAAAGATAGAATATATCATGATATGACCAAGAGTAGTTTCCCTTTGAACGTCTTACATAAGGCAATTTGCATACCATAAGGCTAGGTTTGTTTATGGACAATATTCCGACTCGGAGGTACAGTTATCATCTATATTTTGGTTCTTTTTGTGTCATATTCGGTATTGCTAGATTTTGATTTTACTAGCAGAAATATATGTTTCAATCTACTCTTTTTCGGTTACATATCGTCCAGTGCTAAATTCAACTGATGAATATCTCCTTAAAATGTAAACATATTCCAAACCTTTATATTTAACCTTTTTTTTTTAATTTGATTATTGTTATCGTTTATAATTATGCCTGTGTTGTAGTAAGAAATAATCATTAGGAATATTTTAATTATAATTAAAAATTCAGGATAATATTTAATTATTACTAGAATAAAAGGCAAATCAATCAATCAATCACATACTTAAATGGATCAATAAGCGAGTGGATCAATATTCAATTCAATTCATTTTTTTTTTATTAAAGGGCAAGAGGAAGGAATTTAAAATCAGACATGTTTTGTTTACAACCTAATCAAACATCGCCATTAAAAATTATCTTAGAACATAAACAAAATTAATACCAAACGTCGATTGCCGCATTGTATTGTCCATAATTAATTGAAACATCTTTAAAGTCAGAACGCACACAAAATATCATGACAGTAAATATTGTACGCAGATATGAAGAGCTAGCTGATTTCTACAGAAAATCACACAGAAAATCACACAGAAATCAATTGAAATCACCTTAAACATATAAACAATTCACGGTGTTATTTACAAAGTACCGAAAATACATGCTGCTATCCTGTCGAGCAAAAATACTAAAAACTGAGATTGTCCGGAATTTATCGATTTGAACTCCTTTTTATCAAATTAAGTTTCTCTGGTCGTTGTAATGCTGCTTGCCGCTTGATAGTTAGCCAATCAAAGGCGTTTCTTTCTACCCATCCCTGTTCTTTCGTCAGATCTATTTTTAGAAACCACGCGGCAAGCAGCATCCGTGTTATTATACCGAGCAGTCATCTTGACCGTTTAACAGCACAAAAAGTAAGTGAATCAGAAAGGATTTATACCGTCTTACACTATGAAGCAGTTTACATCGGAATATAGAATTAATTTCAGGATATACACACGTCACATGTATATATATGAATACAAAACTCACGCCGGTAGCGTGTACAATATCTGAACAGCCATCACTGTTAACAGCAATACTGATTTATATACCATGATATACTTAAACTTAAACTGTGCTGATAAACATTTACAGTTTACTACAATGTGGCAGTCTGATATTTATTTATGTATGTAAATGTATAGATAGTAACATTTTATTAATCATGTACCTGCATGATATCTCAGCACAGCCACTGTTAGATCGTGTACAGCTTTGTACAGATATATTGCGAATAAAAAAAACAACTAATGCACTAATATACAGATCGTTTTATTCTTCGCTATTTGGATGAACAACTGACATGGATACTTCAGCAGTACGGATATAGTAGGATATTGAACCCATATCCCTTTTCTATTTATATATCTAGGAGTGGGAGTGTTTGCTATTTATATACATCTAAAGATGATGAAACATGCTCGTATGCATTTGATGCCTTAGCTCCAAGTAAACGCCCGAGTAGTTCCGATATATGTTGATTGTCATGTCTATAATTAGAACCATTTCCTTTTTTATCAGAGCTCATAAACCGCATCTCAACTGAAGGAAACGTTTAGTGTAAGGTAAGTTGGTTTTTAAAAGGTATTTAAGATGATTGAAACAAGTCTACATTCTTATTTAGGTGTAAACAATAATAAATAGGATCAGCCACGTTTATTGATCGCTAACTTGTGTACATTCGGCAGTTACTTCTACAGACAGACTATTATTAGCTGCGTATGGTATCATTATATTTTAACAGCTTATCGACCTACTTTTCATTATATTTTAGATCTTTTGTAATGGGATTAACAGCAGCATATACTATTTTAATTGTATGCTCGGAGAAGTTACGTTATGGACGGGGTATCATGAAATAATATGCAGTAAACGAATCAAATCTATATTTAGAGGTTTTCAGAAAACCCCTTTGCTATTTATACTACCAAATGCTGTTTTCGATTTTGTTAATGGCGCGTATTCGCATTTCATATTTTGAGAGTTTTATTTAACTATTTTAACTGAAAGATTGAATGTAATAATCATCGAAAATAAATACTGGTTATTTTTTACTCATTATACGTATTAATTTATAGTTAACCTCTTACAATGATGAATAATACCATCATATAAATTGTTAATTTTACCACGGACTTATCTAATTCCGTGATTTTACTTACAGAAGTACAGTAGTAGAGTCAAATATAATCAAACACACTAACATAGAGCTTTTTGTTATTTTTATATTATTTATTACAAACAAATGGACTGGAAAAAATTGAGTCTCAATCCTAAAAAGGGTTACCTGATTCAGGAGAAATCAGCATAAAATCTGCTGATGTTGATTTATTTTATATATACTTTAATAAACTTTCAAGAAAAGGAAACTGATTCAATTAATTTCATATTATTATAAAATAAACAAAAGATTTTTTTTTTCAAAACGGTAACAATTTTACGTAGATCAAGTTGCTGAAATACAACTTTCTATATCTCGCTATCTCTAATTCATCAAATTCCAGTAAAATATGAGGCTAAGTCCTCCAACTGTATGTGATTAATTACTTGAACTCATATATTTTCCATTCACACAAAGCCTGAAGGCCTGGATTATAAAAAAATCCTGTTAATTTAAGGATCGGTATACATTAGGTAACAGGTATAATAGGTTCTCCAACGAGTGGCATATTGTTATCATCTTTATCTGACTCAAGTAAGGCAATTTTTAAATTGTTAAAAGACACGAGACTTTTACAATTTGAAAACTAACTAACGAGAGTAAGATACACATGATTATCAATCATCACAAGTTTTTGGGACCTTTTACTTCCACAATGTTCACATATCTAGGACACCATATAATCTCCTGGGAATGCATTATTTCAGTTGCAATGAACTGTACATGTGACGTCACATTGGAAGATGACGTCGCAAGGCATTATTACTTGACGTCATAATTAGAAGATTGTCAAATGAAGTAACGTCCCAGGTGTTGCCCACTAGTTTGTCACCACAGTTTACTTACTCCTCGCCAGTTTATCCAAAATAATGAGTTGGTAGTGAGGAAACCTGTAGTGGTTGTGAGAGAAATTATATTATTAGTAATTAATTGTTTTATTTTTAAGGATTGAGATGTTTCCTTGTGGAACCAAACATTTCGTATATGATCCAAACGTGAAATATTGCAAAAGGAATGGATACACTGCTTATTGTGATCCATCCATGTGCTTAATGGAGAAGAATACATGGGAACGACAGGCCTGTGGTCTCTATTGTGGAGACATCAAAAAATGGACGCTTCAGCTAAATGACACCGAAGTTGACTTCACTGGTATTATATTTATCAAATTTCACTTCTATTTTTATTATTTATAAAAACATATCGTCTGATCAGGATCCAGATTAATTCCAATAAGTAAGAGATGTAATCATATTACATTGTTTACAAATTAAAGCACATATCTACATAATAACATTGTGTGATTAAATAACCGTAAATACATAATTACATTGATGGCTATTTGACCTAATAGAAAGAGTTGTTGGTAAAAATATCATTATGCAATGATTTTTATATGGGGTTTTTTTCCACAGGAGAAGTTAAAGCAGACGAAACTTTTCCTGTATGGGAGACTGTATCAGGTGTCTCCATATGCCTTGTGGTAATCCTGTCTGTGGTGATTGTATACATGTGGTTCAAGAACTGTAACAAGAATCCTAGTCCTGCCATCGTTAATGCCAGTGCCCCTCCAGTGACAAATGATAAGGATCAAGACGAAACACATGTGCTACTCGTAGATGGGTAAGTTTGATTAATAGACCAATTAATACCGGTTTAAGCTTACATGTTACTCTCTAACTTTTGGGATTGTGAGAGGGGTGTTCAATCTCGATATCACACAAGGAGTACATATGCAGTATTTATTTAACGCTACGACGCTCACTAGATTAAATATAAATATAATTTCAAAATTGTAATAACACAATTTAGATTGATTTTATAAAGCAAAACATAACCTTGTTGATGTATATATATACCCACTATGCTGAAGTCTTTCAAGTAAATGTAATCAAATATGTTACCAAAACTAACTGACGTCGATGTTTCATGTAAAAATGTTGAAATAAATTTTCATTTTTGAAATGATAAAAGTAAATAATTTTTATCTTAATATTAGTGAAAGTTCTACGTCGGAGGCTGACAGTGCTGTAGGGTCTGATGTATCTCGAACAACAGGTACGTATGCTTGATAGTATGTATTGACCAAGGTGTTGTAGTGATTCTGTTGACACCTCCAATTGATAGCTTGCTGTAAACTCTTTGGAATTAAAACATCTTTTGAAGTTGAAGGAAACGTTACAAACTTTTTATTAGTACAGGGTGTCAGTAAAAGATGTATACTGAAAGTGGATAATTTTATTATTTCATATTGTCACGATATCATTAGCTCCGTAAAGTGATTACTTAATACTTTGAAATGAACGATTATCGACACTTTTGAAATTGATCCTGTCGTGACTGTGTTTATTTCATTGTGCACAGAGTAAAAGGGGAAGTGTGCGGAATTACAAATAATTTAGAAATTAACATTAATGAGTTCATCTTTCTGCAGAGGTCAAGAAAATACAATGATACGAAAGTGATATTGTTTGCTTTAAATCAGTACATATTGTATTGCAGTGAATGGACCGTCTTCATTCCATTCATCACCACAAAACAACCATGTTGACCCTCACACTCAAAGAAATGATAAAGCCGGATTGGCAGTTACAGGAATAGCTCAAAACTTCGGGGCACCTTGCGGGGTCGAGACAACAGATGAGGTTTCATGATAAACGCTATATTTTAGTTTGACGAATTACGTTTTGAGTTAAAGTCGACATTTCCAGGATGAACTTGTTAATTTACTTAAATTCAATCACATCTCCATACTGATTAAAAGTATGTGTGAGAATTATACTCTGTATACTTGAGTAATCATTTCATGCATGGTATGTGTCTGCTTTTGAAAGTCAATCAATAAGATTGTAATTATATATCTAAGTACATTTGTATCTGCTGTTCAATCATTTCTAATTTGATAACTGACTTAGAGCCTCCAAGAAAGTAAACTTATAAAACTTTTGTAGCGTTTAGCAAAGTTTGACGTTTTAATATTTTTGACCAAAAAAAGGTTTATATTACTTTCAAATTTTCAATTTCATCTCGCTGCACACATTCTGCTTCCACTATAACTTTTTTATCTTTTGATTTGTCATTCTGTAATTGATTGTATTATCCCCTTTTTTATTTTTATTTTGTGTTTTTTGTCAATGCTAAGAATAAATGTCTTAGTAAACTTCAAATATACTACCAAGCTTTGATACCTAAGAAGTATATACTGGAATTACCTGTATATGTATATTTATTACACAAATACAACGATTATGCTCTGAATAATTCATACATTCAGACCCATCAGAAGTGAACTGTTACCAAGTACATTAGTCCGAATTATTCTGACGTTTTAGCGACTTTTTTCATATCGGTTAATCGACGACAAACCGATATGAAAAAAGTCGATAAACGTCAGAATAATTCGGACTACCAAGTACATGTACAAATACTGATGTATTTCATTAACCTGAGTGTAACTCCAGTAATGTTTTAGCATGTTGTTTTTTCTCGTTGTATCAGTTATTGAAGGTTTATGATACTCGTATGTTTCATATGGAATCAAATAATAACTAGATAATCATATTGCTCTTTGGGTTATATTCATAAATATATATATAGCTTGCAATATCTGAAAAATTTAACTGGCTGATTCACTGAAAACCTGATGTATTTCAGCAATAAGGGCTACAAATGGAATGTATGGGATGCAGACATGGTGATGACACAAGGTCCACCAATAACAATGAGTTATCCTCAGGGTGGTCATCCTTTAATATGTAATGAAATTTGTATTGACTAAAGGGTTTGCTTCTTTGCATTTTTTTTCTATTTATCAAGCCAACAAAATACCAAGCTTTGATAACTAGGAGTTATACGAGACAAGAGTTAAACAAGAGTGATTCATATAAATTGTTATACGTTGTAACTTAATTATTACAAATATTTTGTTAAAGAAATATAAAGTTTATATATAGGAAATTCCAGAAAAGCTAATATTATCTTAGGCAGCATCAAACATGTAGGTAGGTTAAAACTAGCTTGTATTGAATATATACCAAAGATATATCTTATGTTTTGATAGATTATAGCTCCCTACCCCCTTAATCCACGGGCGTATGTCTTTGTTTAAGTTTAACAAACACAAGAATTATTTGAAATGGCAGGCAAATATAGTAAGTTTATCAGTTTTAACCAAAACGTATGTCGTATAAAAGAGCTATTCAAGTGCACGTGATCGAAAAGGATTTACAGGAAAATGATTAACGTATGACGCAAAACATTGTCAGTTTGACCGTTTAAAGATCAATTTAAATTATTCTATCATTTGACGTTTTTCATAGGTTTGTTTAGTTTGCAATGTAAGATAATATATAGTTAATCATTTTGTAGTATTTGAGGATTTTTATCTCTAATTCACCACCTGTCTCAACTTGACAAGTTTGTAACATGCGGAAATTATCCATGCATTTCTATATTTATACATGTTTGAAAATTTATTAATGTTTTTATATTGCTTACTAGCTCTACAAGGCTTACAAATAATGCAGTAATTGATATTTAATCTTTAGTCCTTTTGGAGGTGATTTTTATATTTATGATTTTCTATGCTTTGATATACTCTTTTTCTGCTTTACATATTCTGCATATAATTTTACTGCACCATTTATATTTTCATATTGGAGTCTGTATGTGTATTCCATTTTAAACAATGCTGAAGATGTCCAGTATCATACAAGAAATACAAGAGAATATGTGTCTGAAAAGGCTATCATAAAAATCAAGATATCATTGGTATGTACATCGCATAATTTAACTTGTGATTTGTTTTAAAGTACAGTCATCTTGATTATTACATAAACTGTTACTTTATACACAAACATTATAGTATGTACATTGTTTGTGTATTAAGTAAATCTTTTATGTTACATATTTCAAAACTGATTAATATTTTGAAGGTTTCATTGTTACATTCAAATTGTGTAAAAACTGTAACATGGAAAATTAAAGAGAAAATGCATTTTCATATCAAGATGTTACGCACAAAGTTTAAATTTAAATTATTTGTATTGTATGTCTGAACAACTGAAAAAATGACTTGATTGCGTGCTTACTTTAATAAAAAAAAATCATGTATTAAATTTGTTTATTCTTAATTATTTTTTGAACAAAATTACAACAAAATTTCGGTTCTAAATTTTACTTCTTTAAAATAACAGCAACAGTGTTATACCAGGAGATGATCAAACTTTGTGTTGCATAATATGTAGAGCGATACTGGTATAAAAAAAAAGCAATAAGAATAAGTCCTCGTCTCACACTGTGCAAGTCTTATCATTTCACAATTATCATTTGAATGGATAAACATCTACAATGGGTTGATTGAAATATCTTATGACATTACGACGCGATTAGCAGGTGGCTGAGATAAATGACTTGAGCAAGTCTAACTGTAAGTGTCTAACATGATATTACAACATAGGGGTTTGTGCAAATAACTATATTGAGCGTATATTCAATATTTTCACATTTTAAAAAAATAATTAGTACGAGTATGTTCAAACATAAATGATTTCCCATGCGTTAACTATTTAATCTGATTCAAAACAAAAAACAAAAAAAACTATTCAACCTGTGTATATTTAATGACAATCTTATATTGACCACGTTAAAGATAGACTACAGACACTATAGTTAAACAGAGCTAATAATATTGTCAGTGAATATGGTCGTTATATGTTGACCATGATAATAAAGATATTCCAAACAGCAACTATTCATTTGAAAGTAAAAGTAAAAAAAGTAGTAAATTTGCCATGGTTCTGCTTAAATAAGGCGAATCTGTTATCACAAAACCAGATTTTGTTTATAATTTCGGTTTATAACTGGTTTGGCTTTGGTTTCAAAACTGGTTTTGATTTTACTACCGTTCAAACAAATATCTGGTTTGACATAAAACATCGCTTTAAAACAAACGTGTGGCTGTTTAGCACTAATATTTCAAATGATGACGATGACACGGATGATTTCCTCGTGTTATTTGTTTCCGTGCACTTTAAGAAGAAACAGCCGCGGCTACGTTCTCATATCGGAAGAAAAATGTTAAAATGACTGTCATAGACACGTGTACCATGTACAAATGGAAACAAAAACTAACAAAATAAAACTGCATTTCGTCAAATTAATTTTCAAAACAAATTTTTCAAAATTGTACATTTTTTAAAATTATTTTTCACTACGTCCACTTAAACAAATTCATATAATTTAATGATTTTATTCATGTAGTTATGATTGAAATGTCTGCGCGGCAGATATGGCCGTTTAATCAGTCGATATCTTGAATAATTCCTCCGCATTCGCGACATTCTACCATCACGCTTTCTATCGACGCCATTTCTTATTCTCTGATTGGAAAACCAATTACAGAACCACACCCGGGTGCGGTTTGATCAGTATTCCGAAACAGTTTTGGTTTACCTTTAACAAATGAAAAACCAATTTAAGTTTAAAACTGGTTTTAAACTGGTCTTCATTAAAAAATGGAAAGTTTACAAAACCAGTTCGAAACTAAAACTAGATTTGTTATAACAAATTCGCCTCTAGTCAAAGACAGTGACTGTTGACTAGTCAAAAAGTAGTAAATATGCTATGTGACCACTTGAACAGTCAGTAAACAGTTATTAATTATACAATATGACAGCTTGACCAGTAATAAACAGTAAATCTGCAATGTGAGTGTAAAACTATAAAAAAAAATACAAGGAAAATTACTTGTATTCCAAATCGAAAACTGCTGTTCATGCCTTTACATCACTTTTGTATATTCAAAACGACAAAATAAATTTCAAATAATGCTTCATATGTTTATTCAGCGCGGGAACTATGACATAGACATCAGCATTTGCATATTTATGTAGGTCACTAACCGGCATTACTTTTTATAGCCACAAGAATAGGTGTTAAACTGCTTAATTTTGCCGTTAGAATTAACGTTTATTAGACAGCAATCCAAATCATATTAAAGATATAACTCGACATCAATATCTGATCAGTTCAAAATTAGTGAACGTATTAGGCCTACCTTCACCTCGACTAGTTCTGAATTCGCTATAATCCACATTAACGTCAACAAATACACTTCAGCCCGGATGTTTGATAAGAGCGTAGGAGTTAGACTGGTAATCCTTGGAAACGACACATTTCACTTCAGCTACACATATTGCCGTCATTAGTGTAACACTCCTGACTATAGCATAATTATAAATGTAAGCAGAAAAGTACATTAAATTTTCATGCATAACCACCAGGTACAAGCAAGGACTTAGATAATCCAGGACGCTAAAAAAGCGGTTGGTTTAACCAATGAGTGGTTTCCACGAACGCGGAAGGGAGTTATTATATGGAAAACGGAAGTAAAACCAATTATGTTTGCATGCATAAAAGTTTGATTTATAAACTGCTATCCCACACTCAATGACATAAAAGTTATTAACTCAATGTTTTACATTTATAAGTAATGAAACAAATAAAATCAATTACAACATTCCATACATCTACAGAAAAAAAACATTTCAATAAAATCACAAACATACAAACACAGACTGCTACTCACTTCGCTGCCTCTCAAACAAGTCTAAACGCCTCCACCACAAATCAAGGACAAACCACAAACTTATCCACACATACAAAACAGTTAAAGCTGAAGAGCAAAATCAGACCTGAAATGCATACCTACAATACATGACAGAAGATGATTACAGACTTACCAATAGGTGAACCTGAAGACTCCAGCACAAGGAACAAATACAACCCTAAAAAACTCTTCTCGTTCATCAAAACAACAAAAAAGGAAAACACAGACATCATAACCCTACGTAAAAAGGCCACCTCACAGCAGACCCAGAAACAAAAGCAAACATACTAAATGAACAGTTCCAAGAAGCCTTCTCACCAGAACAATACACAACAATATCTGACAAAGGAATATCGCCTCATCCACCCATGCCAGATATACACATAACAAACTACTAAATAACATTAACCCACACCACACAAAGCAATAGGCCTAGAACATACACACGGCAGAAGAACTTAAGGATATCACAGCACCAATACTAACAAAAATATTCCAAACATCACCCAATACAGGAACATAACCCAGTGACTGGAAACACGCCAACGTAAACCCCATATACAAAAAAAGACAAATACAACCCAACAAACTACAGACCAATATCACTCACATGCATCGCATGCAAACTCCTAGAACACATCATCACAAGTGAAACCATCTAGACTTTACACTTCAAAACAACTTAAAATGGGACAAACACATTAACAACATCACATCCAATGCAAATAAATCACTTGGCTTTCTGAAACGCAACCTAAAAATAAATTCACCACACATTAAAGAACATGCATACATGGCCATTGTAAGACCAAAACTCGAATACTGCTCTTCAGTTTGGGACTCTCGATATATAAATAACATAAACTAAGTAGAAAAAGTACAACGAAGAGCAGCACGATATTTCCTAAACAAATACCATAACACAAGCTCAGTCACAGATATGATACACAATTTGCAATTGCCAACACTACACACACGCAGAACAAGAACACATTATTCTTCATAGTACACCAACAAGTAGCAATACACACTTACAATCCCATCCCGGCAGACACCAGAACACGTCAAGGACACGACCTTTGTTACAGACATATCTACACATCCAAAGACACATACAGACACTCATTCTTTCCATACACCATAATACACCTCCTACCCAAAACAATAACCCAATCAGAATTTAGGACATGCACTACATGTAACATAATCGAACATATACAAAACATACAACATAAATAACACTCACTGCTTTTAACCTGTTTTCATCTTATAGCAAATAATAAGAATATGATAAAACAAATCACTGTACATAACAACGCACTACAGCACAAGACCGACTTCCGTAATCGTCGATATCGAGGGAGGAAGGTATAAAGATGAAGACATTTAAAGGAAATATGCCGTTTTTATGTTTTTGTTGTAATTCATGAAATTATTTTGATGGTTATCGCCACTTCACTATTCATTGTATGCTAGTAGCTGTAAAACCAAATTGTAATAGAGTTTTAAAAGGGGGGAAACGTAGTTTACAATAATTCATGTAATATTGTCACTTTAATATGGGGAAATAACTCAAGTCAATAAGACAGATTTTTAAGTGTAGATTCCTGTTACACACTTGTAATTAATTTGACCTTCTATTCTCAAAGAAATGCAATCGTAACCAGACCATGCAATATTTTTGCTAACAGTTAAGTGGCATGGTCATGAATCGATTTCCGAATCCCCCCTCAACAATCTCGGGCTTGAGTAAGGCTATTACTATCATTACTGTACATATATTGAGGAGAGCCCCTAAGTTTTTATGAATATTTTCTCAACTGCATTTTATTACTAGCTTATCTCCCACTTGTTTAGAACTTAGAATCAGACATCCAAATGATCAAAATTATTAGAGTTCATTTTTTCTAAATAATTCTATATTCTAGAGACGTGGCCAGTTTAATTGAGAAGATCTATTACAAGTTTCAAGACGCGTTAATTTCAACCAAGTGCAATTGTTAAAGGGAAAGACCAGTTAATGCAAGCACCCTGTACAGTACACCTTATAGAAGAAAGAAACTAAATAAGAATAAAAACAACCTTGTCTTACCTTGTGCGGTTTACTGCCTTTACTTGATCCATTAATGAAGTGAAATTTCTATAAAAAAGGGATATTGAAATAAGTAGAATACGAAAACGACATGTTTCTTGTAAACTTACATCCTTAAAATCGGGCGAAACCGCACCTTACATATAATGTAACAACGATCCAACCAAAATCGTGACTAATCCTAACACGTGCGCCATTTCTTTTCATGCAGTATATTTAGGTATAAAGGGATCAGATTCCGAAAAATTCGAACTATACCTTCTTCGTTTGATCACTTAAATGATTACAGACCATAATCTACAGATACTTACCTAAAATCTGTGTTACAATATCCATATTGAAGTCGATTGTACTGAGGTGCACGTACCCAATCGTTAGGTAGTATGTTAGCAGTTTGTGTATGATAATAGCATTGCGTCATTTCCAGGAACTCGCCCCTTGCCAACCGATATTAATGTAGAACATTGAAACAAAGGAGTGTCAATAACAACTTAATCAATACATAATGAGATGATTAACATTATATTCAATGGTTTATGCAAATTACAGGACGTTTGATTGGCTTAATTTACAATGATGTTTATGATATTGTACCCGAAAAGCTCCCTTAATGCAGAAAGGTTATTAATAAATTGCTACTGAGAGTAAAATGGAGCATTTCTTTGAACAAGATCAGATAAAATCATGTAATGTGTTTCTTCTCTCATGTACACTTTCAGTATATATAACAAATCTGGTTCAAGAAATGATATTGCAAAATACATTTCGTTGTTATATCATGTTCCTTTCTCGTCAACAATCAAAGTTATCTTTAAACAATTTTTCATTTCAAATACATTATCACGAATTATTGGAATCATCACCAATTAGCAAGACTTATTTTTCAGGATTAATACGAACCATTTCAAACAAAACTTTTGATAATTCAAATTTTTAATACATTAAAGTACTTGCTCTTTGTAGTATCAAATTCTTACCTGAGAAATTTGCAAATGCCACGCACCTCTTACGGACATCCTGTTAATGCGATCTTAAAGCTGTCTGACTTCATATAGAGCCATATACTACATATGTACTCAGATTCCAATATCAGATATTCATTATTCTTGGAAAGGCATACAAATTTTCATTTTCATTATACTAACGGCGTGGGGTTTTCCTGGTTATTGTGTTTTTTTGTTCTTTGGTCTAAAAATAGAACCCAGGCTATACCAGCTGCATCACACAATGGAATAAGAGATAAAGTCCCTTTGTCATTCAAACTGTTATAGAGAACAAAATCGTCAGTACAACTTGCTTTGCTGTGACGTCATATTCTATTGTAATTACAAACATTTGTATGGGTATTCAATTTGTTTCAAAGTAGAGGTCATATGCATTTTCACTAAATGTACCATATATTTATAAGTACATGAATACGGGTATCATGATATTTTCTATCAAATAACGCGTGGCTCAAATAGTCACTTTCATAAATACGCCATTATATATGTTCAGCGACACCATAAATAAACAACATCTGAAACCTAAGCCTCATAATTCCATTTATCTTGTAGGATCACAGGGTCACGTTACAAATGTTTGAAATACACATTTGCTATACTGATACGGGTCACAACACATGATTATGTGTGTTGTGACCCGTATCAGTATAGCATATGTGTATTTCAGACATTTGTAACGTGACCCTGTGGTAGGATCATATATTAAATTGCTGGTATCCTTAAGACCCGAAGGCTACTGTTAAACTACAAATGAAACTTGCTCGTTTATATACATGAATTATATAGTCCTTATTAAATAAGGCCTCTTTATATGTCATTGTATGACATCAATTGGCTATTTTTGTCACCATCATCTGCGAACGCTGCCATCATTTGCCCTTGTAATTGGATGTTGGTTCCTTATATGGCCCTATTTGCTGAGTGACTCCATCATCTGCCAACAGTGTCGTCATGAGACTTTTAAAATATGTTGAAAATCTGAAAAGACTTGACACAAGCATTTCTCCCTATCTCCTGTATTAAACCGTTTTTCCAAATTGAATTCATGTCAATCTTGTCAAACTTCTTAATCCTGATAGAATTTTAAATAGATAAAGAGTGCATCAACATAATCATTGGAACAAGAACTTGCTTGAACGATTCATTGAGCATCATTGACACTTCAAAGATCACTTCTCAAAACAACGTGTTTAGATGAATGATGGGAGGACAGACATGCAAGGCGGCGTCCTGGCCCCCATGATGGTCAGACCCGACCATTGCAAGTGTACATATCAGCAATCCGTGGTCAAGGAAAGCATCGACAGTTTAGGAAGTAGGCGGAACTGAACTCAGATTTAATGAGACTTTGGACACTAATGCAAACTTTATGGATTTTAAAATGATAATGAAATAATTATCAACTTCATCAGCTGATATTAATCACTCTTGTTGGCTCGAATGGAAGTGAGTAGGGATTCTCAATACTGGAGGGGACAAAAGCTTACCACTATCACAAATAAGAAGACATCAACTCTCAACCGAGAAAACATCAAAACGGAAAAAATAAAGAAACCTCAACGCGCAACTCCAGACGTGACTGTTCTTATAACTTTGATAAAATTATCCCGCTGAAGCATCAAGACGGCATTGTTCGAGGAAACACTGGAACTGACATTGAGATGCCAGTTGTTTGTTTATGTTTTGGATGACATGAGCGAAATCCCGGTCATGAGGGAGCCAGCATCCCACGCTGCCTAATTATAACGTACTGAATGAACCTATTCCTCCCTTAATGGTAAGGTATTTTTCTCAAATACTTTAAAGATAATTTCTGGGAAAGCACTTTTATCAAGTTCAAGTTTTATCTAGTGTATTAACAAATCTGTTTTATATGCTATGCTAAAGTGAGTAATAGTGTTGAACTTCCCATTCATACCGCATAGAAAATGTCTTAATTGGAATTTAAGTGTGGCTAAATAATAGTATCCGTATTATACACATACTACGTAGACAGAGACTGGACATACTGTTGGTCGTCAGATATTGAAAGCTGTTCTTATTGTTTCACAATTCTCTTATTACACAATTAATTACAGCGTAAACAAATTTTAGAAACGAATACCTCGGATTACGTGTCTCTAACCTTTAAAGGGTATAATGATTAAAAGGATACTATCGGTGAAACACATGGGTCCAAAGTTTCTAAATACAGGTAACGAGGTTCTAATTCGGTAGACGGATGTAACGGATATTAATGCAAAAACTTAATTGCAGTGTATGTTTTAAACTCAGTCCCGTAATGCCTATTCCCATTGTTATCATAACAGTAAAAGACGTGCTATTTACGAGACCTTAACAACACACTAGTGTGTTGTTAGTAGTGCGTGTTGTTAAGGTCTCATAAATAGCACGTCTTTTAGTTTTGTCAACAATCGGACAAATTAAGCTGAACTCTAATATATAAATACATGTATATGAGATATATTATTAATAACTTTGAGGTAACGCAGATAGCATGTGTCAACTACGTGCGAATAAGTATGGAAAACATTTGAATTACGATCCAAAGTCCATAATCATATATCATTATCATTATAAATAGCATATACATGTACCTCGTCGGCTCAGTGTGCAAATGTACACACGTGAATCTATTTCTAAATCAAACGCTGTTGTCCTTGAGAGCATGAAGGGCAAAAATGACAATTTAACTAAACAGAAAATTGGGAATACCATAAAAAAGAGAACTTGTCATTTTTGTGTCTTATCTCGTCTTTAAATCATAGCGCTGGTGTCATCAAAACGTTTTGTATTTTTAAAGAGACATTATCGAGAAAGTTGAGTGTTAAACACTTGCAAAATATGTAAGAGTGCATATGGCAGTGTACAATACACTTAAGTGACATTCCGTTGCATAAAACATGTATTTTAACAAGCATACTGACAAAAGCGATCAAGGCGACAACTTGTGATAACGGGAAGCTGATCACTACTACAGTGCTGTCATTCATACACTCCGTGACCTGCCGTTAATTCCCCTTTTGCCTTATCTACATGTAGTGGGGTCTGACTGGTGAACTACTGTACCGCTGGTCACCACGTAGCTTAGTCGGTATTAGCAGCCATATGGTGATCGGAGGTCCGGGATTCGAACACCGGTCTGTCCGCGTTACATTTTACTCTTCTACAATGTTGTTGATTTATGTGTTAACTTTTGTGATACATGTATTACTATTATAATACGGTTATGTTATATAACATAGTAGGTGATGTGCAAATCTTCAAGAATATATAGATTTATTACATACTTACTAATAAATACGGTTTTTTGTAAATGCGATACGACACAATTGCTCTAACCCATATCAGCCCTCGCCGTATCCCCCCCCAAACCCCGTATCACCCCCCGCCGTATCACACCCCAAACCCCGTATCAGCCCCAGCCGTATCACACCCCAAAACCCATATCAGCCCGCAAAACCCATATCACACCCCATTTGGAAAAAAAAAAAATCATTTTTCAATATTTCAAAAATGAAAATGAATCATATGATAGTAGTTTTTATTAGTAGGTATGTAATAAACAGAATAAAACACGCCTTTTTCCATATCAAACCCAGTATCAACCCTCGACCAATATCAGCCCGCGGGCCTTCGGCCCTTGGGCTGATATTGCAGTCTCGGGTTAATACTGGGTGTGATATGGAAAAGGGCATGTATTATTCTCTATATATCAATATTATTTTGTGTACTTTCTATATACAAATGTTAATTCCGACAATGAATCGGTGTATATCTATATCGAGTGTGTGCTGGTTCTAAATATAGCAGTTTCGGTTTTACTTATTCCGACATACATTGTCACGGTCTTGGCGTGTGGTGGACTTTGTACCTCCTGCTTCAATACCTATAAAAAGTTGACGTGCCTTCCAGAATGCAATATTTCAACCGAATACACGGAAGAGTGTGATGTTTATCAAAGCTCCTAACAAGTACACACAGTTGGTGAGTACATACACATATATATAATCTACGTCGTACAAATATATATATATATATATGTGTGTACAAATATATTTGTTTCACATGTACAGTTTAGATGAACATTTTACTACACTTGCTTGGTACATTTTGCTGTCCTACTGAAACCCCATTGTATCGCCAGCCCGTTATACCGCCAAAACACTGGACAAAATGTGACGGTATAACGGGGGACTACATGTACATGTATAGATATCAAAGGATGAGTGTCTATAAGGTCCTTTTTGGGCCCCGGTATATTCGGTTTTTGCCTTCCTTAATTTGTTCAAAGATGTCCTATTGTATAACATGCGCGAAAACGAAGGTAAAATTTGGGGGTACCAAAAGGGGTATAGTAAATCACAAAATATAATTTGCTGTTTTTAAAAATGAGCTTAAAAACCAAAAGAGTTATATTTCTGTATCTGTTTGAATCGTTTAAGTTAAACCATTTCATTGTTTTATCAACTGTTGTGCCTTTTTCCAATGTGTATGAGCTGATTGTACATAGAAGGCATTTTTGGATAAGCATCCAACTTGGGATAGATAATGGTTATTTAATGATATTTAATTTGTGAAAGTTTCATACTTATCAAACCATGCCCTTTTCCTTAAAAACAAAACGCCTTTTCTTTTGTTTTGGAATACACGGACTAAAATGTATCTCCTTGCTCAACCGCTCTCACCTACTCCCAACCCTTTCACCCACTCACTCCCACACTCATCACTTTCCCTACCACACTCGCTAACTCTTTCTCCAACATCCACTCTCCCACACTCCCTCTCTCTACAACACTCCCACACTCACTCTCTCACACTCACTCTCTCCCACACTCAATCTCTCCCACACTCACTCTCTCCCACACTCACTCTGTCCCACACTCACTCTCTCCCACACTCACTCACTCTCTCCCACACTCATTCACTCTCTCCAACACTCACTCACTCTCTCCCACACTCACACTCTCCAACACTCACTCACTCACTCTCTCCCACACTCACTCACTCTCTCCAACACTCACTCACTCTCTCCCACACTCACTCACTCACTCACTCAATCACTCTCTCCCACACTCACTATCCCACACTCACTCTCTCCCACACTCACTCATTCTCTCCAACAATCACCCACTCACTCTCTCCCACACTCACTCTCTCCCACACTCACTCTGTCCCACACTCACTCTGTCCCACACTCGCTCTCTCCCACACTCACTCTCTCCCACACTCACTCACTCCCACACTCACTCTCTCCCTCACCCACTCATTCTCTCCCACATTCACTCACTCACTCTCTCTCAAACTCACTCACTCATTCTCTCTCTCTCTCCTAAACTCACTCTCTCCCACACTCACTCTCTCCCTCATTCACTTTCTCCCACACTCACTCATTCTCTCCCACACTCACTCACTCACTCTCTCCCACACTCATTCTCTCCCACACTCACACTCTCCCATACTCACTCTCTCCTACAATCACTTTCTCCTACAATCGCTCTCTCCCACACTCACTCATTCTCTCCCACACTCACACACTCACTCTCTCCCACACTAACTCTCTCCCACACTAACTATCTCCCACACTTACTCTCTCCTACACTCACTCTCTCCCATACTGACTCTCTCCCACACTCACTCTCTCCAATACTCACTCACTCTCTCCCACACTCACACTCTCCCACACTCACTCACTCACTCTCTCCCACACTCACTCACTCTCTCCAACACTCACTCACTCTCTCCCACACTGACTCACTCACTCACTCAATCAATCACTCTCTCCCACACTCACTATCCCACACTCACTCACTCCAACACTCACTCATTCTCTCCAACAATCACCCACTCACTCTCTCCCACACTCACTCTCTCCAACATCACTCTCTCCCACACTCACTCTGTCCCACACTCGCTCTCTCCTACACTCACACACTCTCTCCCACACTCTCTCTCTCCCATACTCACTCTCTCACACACTCACACTCTCCCACACTCACTCATTCTCTCCCACACTCACTCTCTCCCACATTCACTATCTCCAACACTCACTCATTCTCTCCACACTCACTCTCTCCTTCACTCACACTCTCCCACACTCACTCCCACACTCCCTTTTCCACACTCACACTCTTTTCCACACTCACTCCCTCTCTCCGACACTCCCTTTCCCACACTCGTTCTCTCCCATACTTACTCTCTCCACCACTAACTCTCTCGGCAACACTCACCCACACTCACTTACTCTCACACACTGTCACACTCACTCTCTCTCACTCCCACACACACTCGACTCACTCTCTATCTCTCCCACACTAACTCTCCCCACTCACTCTCTCCACCACTCACTCTCTCGCCCACACTCAATCCCACATTCACTCACTCATTCTCTCCCGCACACACTCCACTCACTCTCTCCCACACTCACTCACTCTCTCCCACACTCTCTCTCACACTCACTCACACTCACCACCATTTACTCTCTCGCCCACACTCACTCCCACACTCACTCTCGCACACACTCATTCACTCACTCTCTACCTTACTCACTCTTTCCCACACTCACTAATTCTCTCCCACACTCATTCTATCCCACACTCACTCTCTCCCACATTCACTCACTCACTCACACACTCCCTCATTCACTCCCACACTCACTCTCTCCCTCTCTCCCTCTCTCCCACACTTACACACTCCCACTCTCTTCCACTCTCTCCCAAACTCACTCACTCTCTCCCACACCCACTCTCTCCCACACTGACTCCCTCTGCCACACTCACTATCTCCAACACCAATTCCACTCACTCTCTATCCCTCACTTACACCAACTCTCATAAACACTTCCTCTATCCCTCACACTTACTCTCCTACCCTAACGACAAAAAGTATGCTTAAAGGCCAATCAGGGGTTAGGGGAGCTTTGATTACACATCAGCGCAGAGTTGGGCAATTTTGTGTTTGAAACAACAACAGCTACGCTAGGAAATCGCACAGTTTTTATATCAAATAAAAAACATTTATGCCGGTGAGCAGTTTTTATAACATTAAATATAACACTACAACAATATTCTTACTCTCGATCATTTTAAAGGGAGACATTTAAGCGCGTTCTGAACAATTGCATATAAATTATGCTTTAAAATGAGAAAGAAAACATTAAAATATGATATATTTTGAATAATTCCAAGCTGAGTAAGATGGTAGGTAACTCTTTATTATTTAATTCTATATCAGGTAGACCAATTACAGTTAATCCCTTACGACTACTGCTAATAATCCCTGTAACTATCGCTACCAGTATTGATTACTACTCAGATCAACGGTCTACCGACTATCTCCCAATTATAAAATGCATTATTTTATTGATGAATATCGCTTTATAGACTGCATAGTCTATGTGTAAATGGAATGTGAGTCCCCATCCCTCTTCACTTCAACACCACCAATATTTGCATTGGGGTTCAATCTATCCATCGTGTCTTTGAAACAGTTGATATATCAACAGTTTAACCCTATAATGATGAATAATGAAAAGAGAGGCATGAATACACATTGGGATCTTTGAATCATTTGGTTAAAAAGCGTGTAGATCTAGCTCCCCTGGGGGCTGAGGTGATATCCCAAAAAGGGGAAGCTGGGTGATAAATATTAGAAAGCCTACTCCTCTAGATCACTCTGATGCATTACTGGGATGAGGAATGCCGTTTAAGGACTGTCGTAAAATGTGTACTGTGTTTAATATGTAATAATATTTGTCTCACCTAGAGTATATATATAATTACCACAGGGGACTGTAGCATGATCATTGCCTCCCCTAGAGTATATATATATAACTACCACATGGGACAGTATCAAGATCTTTGCCTCCCCTAGAGTATATAATTAACTGTTACAGGGACTTTAGCACGATCATTGCCTCCCCTAGAGTATATATATATAATTACCACATGGGCCTGTAGCACGATATTTCTCTCCCCTAGAGTATATACTTAATTACCACAGGGAACAGTAGCACGATATTTGCCTCCCGTAGAGTATACATATATAGCTACCACAGGGGACTGTAGCACGATCATTGCCTCTCCTAGAGTATATATATAACTATCACAGGGGACTGTAGCACGATCATTGCCTCCCCTAGAGTATATATATAATTACCACATGGGCCTGTAGCACGATATTTGCCTCCCCTAGAGTATATATATAACTACCACAGGGGACAGTAGCAAGAGCTTTGCCTCCCCTAGAGTATATATACACCACAGGGGATTGTAGCACGATATTTGCCTCCCGTAGAGTATATATATAACCATCACAGGGGACTGTAGCACGACCATTGCAACTCCTAGAGTATAATATATATACCACATGGACAATTCGCACGATATTTGCCTCCCGTAGAGTATATACCACAGGGGAATGTAGCACGATATTTGCCTCCCGTAGAGTATATATATAACTACCACATGGGACTGTAGCACGACCATTGCCTCTCCTAGAGTATATATATAACTATCACAGGGGACTGTAGCACGATCATTGCCTCCCCTAGAGTAGATATATATAACTATCACAGGGGACAGTATCAAGATCTTTGCCTCCCCTAGAGTATATAATTAACTGTTACAGGGGACTGTAGCACGATCATTGCCTCCCCTAGAGTATATATATATAACTACCACATGGGACAGTATCAAGATCTTTGCCTCCCCTAGAGTATATAATTAACTGTTACAGGGGACTGTAGCACGTTCATTGCCTCCCCTAGAGTATATATATATAACTACCACATGGGACAGTATCAAGATCTTTGCCTCCCCTAGAGTATATAATTAACTGTTACAGGGGACTGTAGCACGATCATTGCCTCCCCTAGAGTATATATATATAACTACCACATGGGACAGTATCAAGATCTTTGCCTCCCCTAGAGTATACACCACAGGGGATTGTAGCACGATATACATGTACATGTACTTTGCCTCCCC